TTAAATGATTTCTATAATTCTATTTTATTTATTTTTTTCCTACTGTACACCTATTCATGCTTTTTTATTTAATTATTTTTTCATATTCATAATAAATACATAGTCGTTATAGTAATACATTTGAAATGAATATGAAAGTTTTTTTTTTTTTTTTTTTTTTTTTTTTTTTTTGTATTCAAATAATAATCTCTTACCTAAGTAGGTTTTTCTGTAGGTGTCATTTAAAACAAATCAAATTATTCAGTTCTCATATATATCTGTGGACGTTATAGACACTTTAAAAACTCTAACAAAATGTCAAAACCAAAAATGGTAAAAAAAAAAAAAAACAAACAAACAAACAAAACAAAAAACATGAAACACAGATTGTACAAAAAATGATATTTATTAATAATTTCCATTTCTTTATAGGCTTGTAAGCCGCCGCCACCATCCGTGAGTAATCAATCATATTGACTGTAAAAAACCAAGAATGGTATATACATATATTATATATATGTATATATGTATTTCCCCTTTATTCTGTGCCATTTCAGCCAGAGGAGATGAAAAAGATCAAGTTTCCCATGCACAATACACATTTGCGGAAAACGTTGGGCATTTTGAGGACAGCTTGCTATTGGTCTATAGTGGCCCCACTTCTGTTTTACGTGTTTCATAATGCGCCGCGTAAGATGAAATATCAAAATTTTTATACACACTACGATCCGTTGGATGCATTTGATCGTATGAAAAGCGGCGGCTATTTAAAATCGTGCCCAGCCAAGGAGGAAAAGAAAGAGAAGGACAAGGATAAGAAAAAGAAGTGAATGGAATACAGTACAAAAGAATGGAATCAATTCATAAATAGAACAAGAGTCGTCGAACAAACACAATAATAATGGAAAGGAAATCAAAACAGGAACGCAAATGAATTCTAAGAAATTGTAAGACTGAATAGGATATGAATTATTTTTCAAACATGTGCATACACCCACTCGCACACACTCGCACACACTTACACATGCGTACAGCGAAAAACTTGTTGATTAAATGGAGCATTGCAAATACTTGAGTCTTATTTCTTGACTTCAGCTCAACCATCGCTGTCTCGTAAATCGCTCCAAGGCATGTGCTTGTCTGTTATTGATGGCCAATTACAACTGAGGCCGAGTAGGTTAAGCAGATGCTCAAAGACCATTAAACGTTTCAGCAGCTATTCAATTTGCTCTTGAAGTTGTTTATATTTGCCCTCTTGACCGCTTGATTAATCTGACTGCTTGGACGTATCTCAATTGCACAAAAGCAAGTCAATAATTTCATATTTTTGGACAAGTTTTGCATTTGACCTGGGCAATTATGTTTATTCAAGAAAATATACATATATATTCAAGTAATATATATGCATGCATTCCTTAGGCATTCGTAAAACTATGCACGTTTCTATCCGCACATTTTTCGGTAGCTTTTATCACATTCTTTGATTGGCATTTTCTCGCCAAATTTAATGTTCCAGTAACATGCTTTGCATAGCACAACGATTGTTGCTACCCTGTAAACTAGCTGTGAAGTGGGGTAGCATAGAATTTTTAAGTAAATTTATACGGGTTTTATATAAAGTTTAAAGTATAGAGATGCATTTTTTATTTATAAATTAAATTGTAAGCCATTGTATTCCTTGCTCCATTCTATTGACTAGTCTCTCCGTTCCAGAGAATGTAAGCTTTTCAGCATTATTCTCTAGTTATTGCAAAACAATTTGGATGTCTATTTGCTTGTCTACAATTGTCTAGCACTGAGTTTTTCATCAGTCGGTCAATTTCAGTTTCTGTTTGAATTAACTTACTGTTTCGTATTTTCCAATAATTTTCCATTATTTTTAGAGGGTATTCTAAAGTCATTTGCTTTAGCTTTGCCACATTTGAATGCTTTTTATTACTGCTTTTTCTTTTCTTCTACTATTGCTACTTTTCACTTTCTAACGTGACATGTTTTGGCAAAAGAACACAATAAATAAAATAAAGTAAAAGAAAATGAAAAGAAATTCTTCAGCTAGTTGTTGAATACTGTCCCTTTTCATGCGGATGTTTAGTTATTAAATTTCAGCAGAAGTTCAGTCCTCGGTTTTTCGCGCTAACTCAACGCTGAGCATTTGCATTTGCATCTGGCAATTAGATTAGAGCATTTAAATGCTTTGACTTCTTTCCACTTTTGCTGGCGACCCTTGAACTCTGACTTGCACTTTTGGGATTCAAAACGAATTTCTTGACAATTTTGTGGACCTTGGCCGCACATTGAACCCGGCTCAAATCAAGCAGACAGTCAGCCAGAGATTGTGACAAGTTCAATCTGTTGCATGCCTCGTGGCGTTGAAGGCGATTAGAGGTACGGCAACGCCCACTATCACAGCGCTGAGAAAGCGCATTGCATACTTGAAGGCGTCGCATCACCAAATAAAAAAAATAAATTTGGCCAAAACAACTTTTCAGTCGAAACGAATCAAATTTAAGTGGAATTTTCAACTTTTCAGCAGGGCTATCCCAGAGACGCCAAACTCTTTTGGCGAATATTATTTGAATAGTTTTCGCATTAAGATTGTCGTTTGGCACACGAGTTCTAGAAGCTTTCAATTTATGGGATGGCTATGCACGGCATATTGTACCGTTTTCAAAGAGAACTAGGAATAGAATAAACTAGGATTAAATTTTACAAAATTAAAAGAATCTAAAAAAAATGTATAAAAATAAAATATATATAAACAATATAAT